GCTTCCCCCGCCCTCTCTCCCCGCCCCGCCTCCCGGTCCGGTCGCCCCCGGCAGCCTCCCCTCCCGGCCCGGCCCGGGCGGCGCCTGAACTCGCGGTGAGTGCTGCGCGGGCCCGGGAGTCCGAGAGGCGGCCCGGGCCGTTGGGACGGTCACGGGGCCCCGGAGGTGCCGGCGCAGGCCGCGTTCGCGTCCCCACAGTTTTTGCCAGGGAACCTTTTATGGGGGTTTGTTTTCTTCATCACTGACGGTCTCGTGCTGTTATTTGTATGAAAATGAGAAACCGCCCCCACGCTATCCTCTACACGACTGTTTCCACGATCTGAATTGTTTTGACGTAGCAATTTTGCATTTCCGTCACAGTAAAATTCCCATTTTTTAAAAAAAGATCTATTTTGCCTTTGGAAGCCCCAGGTAACCGTGGAAACCTATTTTTACCTTTAGGTTATTCTTTGTAGCACATTCAGAAAATGGTGGTGTGTTGACTTGAGTAATTGTACAAAAGAAACATTTCGGGGTAATGTAGAATTCAGCCCTCTTCAGAACACTTGACTTAGCTTATTAAAGCGAACTGAAGCAGAAGTCTGGGGACCCAGTAGGAGGGGCCCTGTTTCCAGAACTCGGGTCCTGCGCCAGGAATTTTTGCCAGGCAACGTCAACTGCCACTACCGCCTCTAAGAGCAATCTATTCTTCTGTCGTTTGATTAGTTAACTATGTTTATGCAGTAACCATTATTTTGGAAAATGCAAACGTTTTCAACTTCGGTTGTGGTTAATTGTAAAATGTGATATACGTTAAAACGTTCAGCTTGAGATAACTAAAGCACAGTATTGGCTTCACCTACCTTTTCTTGATGCTTAAAACCTGGAAAATATCTTTCTTGTTTTGTTTTATTTTCAGTTCCCAAACATCACAGATTATACTTAACTAGTATGCAAGAGGAACACATTTCTTCTTCATCCGTTGAAAAACAATGGTCTTAAAAGCTGAGTTGTGTCTTCAGTATTTCACTGAAGTGTTACAGTGTTTGAGGCCAGAGAAAGCCTCCAAGATTGACCTTTTTAACTTCCTAAGTCAGTAAACTTGACTGGGTGTTTTTGCAAGACAATGTAAGAAGCAGCCTTTGTCCAAAGGTTTTTACCCACCCAACGTATATGTGTATACACAGAATTGTTTGAGAGGAAGGTAGGTTGTGACTTGACTTTATAGTACATATCTTTGTGCTTGGTTAGTTATAGGCCATAATGGTCAAAAAACTTGTGCGACTGGAGAGGAAAGAGACCAAAAAATGGAAAATTAGCTACTAGAAAGAATAGTCAAGTTGGAGAATGGACGAGACTTGTTTGCTGATTTGGTATGACATGAGAACAAACCTGATAATTACATCACTTCCATCAAAGTTTTGCTGTTGAGGCTTTGTTTAGTAGTATTATGTAATATAGTATATTACTTAATGTAACACTTTAATGTACCACCTATAAAGTTTTTGAATGATGTGCTCTTGACATGGAAGTGTTTTATAGCTAGTATTGAGGAGGGCTGATTTTAAGACGGAAGGTGGCCAGTTCGGCAGTTAAAGATGAGCCTGGGCTTTAAGGAAATTCATAAGAAGACGTGACAAGACTGGCCGTGCAGCATCACATTCTAAACGATTAGAGCTCAGAACACATGTCCCGTGGTAATGAGCTTTTAAGTTTTTAAACTATAAGTAGCTATTTTAAGACGATTTAAGATTTTAATCAATTTTGATTGATTTTAAAAATATTTAAAAACCGTGGATGTAAATCTTGTCTGTTTAAGACAAAACCGATTACCCCTTATCTCAAACGCTCCACAAAATCTCGACCTCTTGGCCAGATTCACTCTTCCCTCCAATCTCACTATCCCAGGAAATCCCGCCTCTTCTCTGTGACGTCATCACCCATGAATTAAATCATCTGATGTTAATCATCATATTCAAACTGATCTCTTGCTCCTGGATTCTTCCTGCCTGTAGTTTATTCCCCAAACTGTTGTTCCTAGCCTTGTCTAATCAAAGGTAATTTTCGAGTTCTTTTCCTTTTCTCTCTATACTGTTTAAGTAGAGGCTCTTATCTTCCTGGAATTCTTGGGTGGGTGTAGGTCTGTGAACTCTACTGAAATTGAACTTAAACTTTTGTGCCCAAGGGCTTCTTTCTGTTTTTTTATTAGATTGTAGAGACTACAGACCACCCTCCTTCCACCCTCTCCCCTAACTCCCTGAAAGGCAGAGGCACTGCTCTGAGGAGTCACGTCAGAAACTATGCATGTCTGATTTTCTTTTTAAGCACTTGCCTCCGTCCCTTTGTGGACTGTGGTTTGCGGCTTTATCTCGATTTTGGCGTCTCTTGCCAGCTGCTCTTGGACGTGCTGCCTTTGGTCCCGTTCTCCGTTCCTGCGGTGCTGCCTTCCGTTATGTTTTATCCTGTCTATTGTCTGCAGTGCATACGAACATGGGATTCAACTTCCCTGCTTCAGGAAAAGGTCATTGCCACAAACAGTCTCTTGAGCTAGATTAGTCTCATCCGCTGAGGGACTGGTTACGAGCTGAAGTGCGTAGGAACAGTGCAGCTGGTGTAGCAGACACTGAACGAAGTTAAGTCAGCAGCACTGAGGGCAGCCAAGGTTAAATGCAGAATTTCAAAAGGACACAGTCTACCTGGTTTCTTGACTTTGTTTACCCACGTTCCCCATCTCCAAGGAGAGAAAGCAGAAGGGAGGTAGGTTGGCATGACAGAAGGCTAAGGGGCAAGGAGCTAATTCTGGAAGAGCAGAAAGGATCTCTTAACTGACTGAGGTCGGGAGCCTGTCAAGACGTGTCAGTGACTCACTGTGGCCGTCAGCTCCCCTGACTCTCGTTTCCTCTTCCTAAGAAAGTGCCCTCAAAGGGGAGGCTCTCCTAAAAGAACGCAGAAGTTGGGGACAAGTCCCCCGAGCGTCTCCGACCCCATATGGCTGCAGAACCGAGACGGTCTTTGGCCCGATCCCCAGCTGACCAGGCTCCCGAGGAGGATCTTGTCATTGTCAAGGTGGAGGAAGACCATGGCTGGAACCAGGACTCAAGTCTGCATGAAAAGCGTCCCCCCGGCCAAGAGCTGTTCCGCCTGCGCTTCCGGAAGCTATGCTACCAGGAGACACAGGGGCCCCGCGAGGCGCTGATCCAGCTCCGGGCGCTCTGCCACCAGTGGCTGCGGCCTGACTTGCACAGCAAGGAGCAGATCCTGGAGCTGCTGGTGCTGGAGCAGTTCCTGGCCATCCTGCCCACGGAGCTGCAGGTCCTGGTGAAGGAGCATCAGTTGGAGGACGGTGAGGAGGTGGTGACCCTGCTGGAGGACGTGGAGAGGCAGATCGACATACTGGGACGGCCGGTAAGTGGGCGGAGGTGTGCGTGCCGGGCCGGGGAGCCCGGGGAGCCGGGCGGGGCGCTGTGGGCGCCGTGGGCACCGCCGTGGGCACCGAGCCCCGAGCCCGCGTTTCTGTTGTGGTTGCAGGGGCGCAGGGCTCGTGTTTGTAGAGCTCTTTGCTTTTAGGGGATATAAATCCTCTTTTATCCTCGTACATCCCTGCACCGTGTTACTGTTCCTGTTTGCCAGATGGAAAACTGGTGCCTGGAGGGTTTAACTGACTTTCTCAGGGGCACCCGGATATGAGAGGCAGGTCTGAAACCACAGCTCAGGTTTCCTAGCTCCTTATCAAAAGTGTTGCCACTGAATCGCGCTGCTCTGTGTTTGCTGCCCCCGTCCTTCGCCTGCCTGGGGAGCGAGAGCACTGGTGCCAGGCAGGGTGGGGCGGCGCCCGCAGCTCCCTCCTTCAGCCTCAGCGCAGGTCAGCACCTCGTGCCCCTGACCGCTCCAGGAAGCAACCGGGGTCTGCCGCTCCCCTTCCCAAGCGCGTGTCCCTGGAGGTGTGCTCTCGGTCCCGCACGGCGCTCACCGCATTTCTCAGAGGGGTTCCCGTAACGCAGCTGTCCTGTGTTTCCAGGTCCCAGCTGGCGCACTTGGACACAGGGTCCTCTGGGAGGAGAGGCTGCCCTCAGAGCCCACGCCGGAGCCTGCGGATGCTCAGCCCCAGCCTGTGGCCGCCCAGCACACACCCACGGTGCTCCCGGGGCCGCAGGAGAGCGGTGAGGAGCCACGCTTCCCGGGGGCGGGGAGAGCGCAGAGGAGGGGAGGTCCCCCCCACACACACCTGTCAGGCTCCTGGAGAAGCCGTCCTTACCGACCAGGCGTGAGGCTCACTTTAAACGTCGATCTCGGACAGACTGTCAGTCCCAGGGCTAACTCATGAACAAGTCAAAGACTTTGGGGGTTTTTATGTATTCACGCAATTTTGTTACCCCGGTGTATTTCCAACAAGGCGTTTTTTGAGGTTTTGCTGGTATCTTCATGCCACTTTTTTTGTAAATAATTCAGTATGTGTTTCCTCAGACAGGGCGTTTTCCGTCACAGTCAGATGTATCGCTGATGCGATACTGATCTCGTCCATGCTTCGTGTTCATGTTTTGCCAGTTGTTCCAACAGTGACTGTTCTTCCAGAGTCCGGTCCAAGATGACAGCTGGCCATTATTTGTCCTGTCCTTTTAGTCTTTAATTTGGAATAGTTCCTCAGCCTTTCTTTGCTTTCGTGATCTTGATATTTTTGAAGAGTGCGGGTCAGTTATTTTGTAAAGTGGCTGCAATTTGGGCTTCTGTGATGTTTCTTCACATTTAGATTCAAGCCGTGTATTTGACAGGAACCCCCGGAAGTGGTGGTGTGTCCTTCTCAGGGCTCCAGTGGGAATTTGTCCTGCTGTTGGTGCTGGTATCTTTGATGACTTGGTTAAGGTTATTCTTGCTGGGTTAATTATTAAAAAGTTACTATTTTTTTCTTTGTAATTAATAAGTAATTTGTGGGGAGATTCTCTGGAGTCTGTGTAAATATCCTGGGCCTCGTCAGACTAGCATTCACTGATCTTCAAGTGATCACCGTGATAGTTAGAAATAAGTTTTCTATCATTCCTTCTACATTTATTTGTTTATCGTAATGGAGAGGGTTCCTTTCTCCCCATTTTATTTTATTATCGTATGGACTCACATGTTCATATTTTATCCCATAAATATTCTGTTGTCATCTTCATTTCACTGCCTCCCCAGAGAAGGCCCCTTCAGTCTGGCTCTTGTGTCCTTTTGACATCTTCCCATCATTTCTTAAGAACTCGCTTTCCTACAGAATGAGATGTTCTAGTCTCATCTCTCACTTGCCCTGCATTTCTTATTTTTTTAATTTATGCAGTTTATAGTAGTTCAGTAGAAGTGAATTTTTAATAGTTCCGAAGACGCATAGAAACATGTTCAATTACTAATACAATTCTTGTCTAAAGTTCTGAGACCCGTTGCCCGATTCTGGTATTGCGCTGTCTGATATCTCAAGGAAGCGGATACTGGCCATTCGGGGAGACGTTTCGGAAAGGTTATAGAGTTAGTAGAGTTGGATTGAGTTAGGTCCTCATTTTCAGTTGCCCAGAGACGGCCACCTGAAGAAACACTGTAACAAGCACGGGGTTCGTATTGGGCTTTGGTGGTGGAGAAGAAATTGTGAAACCGTTCCTGTTAGGGAAGGAGTGCACCTTGTCTTTTTGACGTGTAACTTCAGGCTGAGTGGGACATCAAAGTGCAGGTGTTCTGTGTGGACCCAGAGCCCAGGATACCAGCTTTTCATATGTAAATCTCTGGCGTGCATACCTGCTAATGGACAGATGGGTCAAGGCTGATCTCATTCACTGATCTCATTCACGGCTCCCTCTTCTCTCTCAGCCGGATCTGCTTCTCAGAGTCCCACTGCTTCCCAGAAAGGAAGTCCCGGAGACCAGGTGACAGCTACACTTCTAACAGCGGGCTTCCAGGTGAGCTGTGTTCCTTCCCACTGAACCCCGTGGCTGTCCTAGGTAGTGTCTGTGGTGCTCAACCAAGAACTTACCCCAAATCTTTTTGAACAGAGACAGATTGGTCCTTGATTCCCCCTTCTCCCTCAGTAAACCTGGTGCATTTTCCTCCTCCCAGCTCTTAGATCCCTTCACACAGTATGGTCCCAGCATTTTACTCTCTCAGTGGGTCTCTCTGACACTGTGTTTGAGCTGTGCGACAGTCCTCGTCCATCTCCAAATGGGCATCTTGTTTTTCAGACTCTGGAGAAAATCGAAGACATGGCCGTGTCCCTGATTCGAGAAGAGTGGCTTCTCGATCCATCCCAGAAGGATCTGAGTGGAGATAACAGGCCAGAGAATTACAGAAGCACGTTCTCCCTGGGTAAGGAGAGCTCTGATTACTGTCAGTTACGGTTTTTTGTTTGTTTTTATGTGCACTCGGCTGTGAGCTTCCTGAAAGACATAGTCGAGTTTGAACTTAGGATCCAAGAGAGAAATACAGCATTGAGACTTCTTGAAGTCTGAAATGAAAGTGATTTTCCAGGCCAGGCCTCACTCACCTCACATTCGTAACTGGGTATTGGTTTGTGTGCCAGTCGGACGTTGAAATCCTTTCGTGTTTTCTGAGTTCACTCTGCTCCCAGGCCCTGGAACATCTTTGCGTGGATGTCCCTCCCTCAGGGCCGTTATGCCCCTCCCTCTCAGCGACTCTTTGGTGCTTTTTTCCATTTTCGTCGCACTCGTTGGGTCTTATACTGGTTCTGTACCCCTTCCACTTCTCTCCGTCGATCCCTCCCCTAGCTTAGTTTCCCCTCCACCAACTTGTGCCCCTGTTGGCCTGTGGGCTGCTCCTGCCTCCCCGTTTTACGAAGGCATTTTGGAGATGGAAGCTCTGCATTTACGCGTAGCTGTTCCATGTGCATTTTCCTTTTGTCTTCAGTTCTTTTCTCCTAACATAAAGGACAGGAAGTGACATTGGCTTAACGTTTGTTACATTTTTATTTCAGGTGGTGAGACCAGGAATGAGAACAGGGAATTAGCTTCGAAACAGGTAATACCTGCCGGAGCCCACCCACATGGAGAGACGGCTGCCAAGTGCAACGGGGATGCTGTCGGGGGTCTTGAGCATGGAGAAGCTCGAGACCTTCTGGGCAGATTAGAGAGGCAGCGGGGAAATCCCACCCAAGAGAGACGACATAAGTGTGACGAATGTGGGAAGAGCTTTGCTCAGAGCTCAGGCCTTGTTCGCCATTGGAGAATCCACACTGGGGAGAAGCCCTATCAGTGTAACGTGTGTGGGAAAGCCTTCAGTTACAGGTCAGCCCTTCTGTCCCATCAGGACATCCACAACAAAGTAAAACGCTATCACTGTAAGGAGTGTGGCAAAGCCTTCAGCCAGAACACAGGCCTGATCCTGCACCAGAGAATCCACACTGGGGAGAAGCCGTACCAATGCAGTCAGTGCGGGAAGGCCTTCAGCCAGAGTGCCGGCCTGATCCTGCACCAGAGGATCCACAGTGGGGAGAGACCTTACGAGTGTAATGAGTGTGGGAAGGCCTTCAGTCATAGCTCGCACCTCATTGGACATCAGAGAATCCACACTGGGGAGAAACCCTATGAGTGTGATGAGTGTGGGAAAACCTTCAGGCGGAGCTCACATCTCATTGGCCATCAGAGAAGCCACACTGGGGAGAAACCCTACAAGTGCAACGAGTGTGGGAGGGCCTTCAGTCAGAAGTCAGGCCTGATTGAACACCAGAGAATCCACACCGGAGAAAGACCCTATAAATGTAAAGAGTGCGGGAAAGCTTTCAATGGGAACACGGGCCTCATTCAGCACCTGAGAATTCACACAGGGGAGAAGCCTTATCAGTGCAGTGAGTGTGGGAAGGCCTTCATTCAGAGGTCGAGTCTCATTCGACATCAGAGAATCCACAGTGGAGAAAAGTCTGAATCCATAGGCGTCTAGGAAGAAACTCGGGTCGTAGTGTGGGCATTGTTCAGCCTTAGAGAAACCACACGCACGTGAGAGGGCTTTCAGGGTACTGAAAGCGCAGGAAGTTTGTCCTCAGCGCAGCCTTCCGGAGGGTCAGAACCGGTGGCGGAGTTAGGACAGCCGTTCAGTGTTTGCGCCAGTGCCTTGATGCAGGTGGGTTAGTGTGACTGTCTTTGGGGGTCCTGATGGAGTGGAGCTCCGAAGGCCTAGTGTCTCCTGTAGAAGCTTAAAGTAGCAGTAGAGCGGGTTACTTGCTGGAGTGCGAAGCACTTAGCTCTGTCTTTTGGGTGAGTAGCTGTAGGTTTGAGAGAGGCGGCTCCTGGTTCCTCTGCCTCGTCCCGTCTCCTGTATCCCCGTCTCCGTGTACTCATAACCCTGAAGTTGCACTCATGCGGCTCACCTGATCGAAGCAGCCTCTGGGTGAGGTTTACGTTTGCGTGTAGCTCTCTGAGATCCCAGTTCTGTAGCAGTTTTTGCAGACAGTTAATGGATTTATGCTTCAGTGTGCATTTTATTTTATTCTGAGGTTCCTGATACTGGAGAGCCGTATCCCCACGTAGACTTGGAATGCTACATTTTTAACAGTATTTTTCTTCACATGTCACTTTGGCCCCACGGAGTCATTGACACCCATATGTACCCTTCAGCACACCCGGCCCCAGTGCCCATGTTAGCTAAGGACGTGGACGCGTTAGTGATGGTTGTGGGCGTGTGCAGAGAGCGAGGGGAGGGGAGGTCAGCCCGCTGCCCTTGGGCGTGGATGGTTGGACCTTTTGGTGACTCTGGCTGTCCTCTTCACTGTCCCGCTGTACACTGTGGTGCAAGTACGTGTTCACACTCTGCTACGTGTGGCATCACGTGGGAGGAAGGAGACAGGGACTTGAAGAAGAGTTAAGTCCCCACAGAGAACGTACACTTGTCCCTGTCGGCCCATCACAGTACTGCTCTCTGGCTCCTGACCAGGTGGTCTGTCGCTCTTGTCATGACCCTGGACCCCCTCCTTCTGTGGCCTCTGCACCTCACTCGTCATTCTCTTTTGGAGTCACCGTTAGCTATGCATGTCTACAGTGGCTGCCTCTCGAGCGCTTCAGCCCACGGTTCCTCGCTTCTGAATCCTGTAGTCCAGCCCACCGTCACCGGGCGCTGTGTTTCATCTTTGAGGCTTGCGGCGTGCTGCCAGGGGACTTTGCGTGGAGCAGTGAGGCTGGTTTAAAGGGACAGGAGAACTTAGCATCCACATGTGGGTTGGCCCTTCGATGGGGCGGTTGTGATTTAAAGGCCAGTAGACCTGTCGCTGCTCCAGATGTTCTGAACGCTCTCAAATCCCCTTTTGATAAACCATGCAAGAAACACGGTGTTTCTCTCGATTCACATCTCATTTTTGGCCGTTTGGTTACCCACTTATTCACTCGATTCGGAGTTGAGTCACTTTTGGCCATTTACAAAGTCATCTGTCACAGCTGGCACCGATTCCACTACACCTGCTCAGGAGAATAGGGTGTCCGTTCGGATGAAAACCCAGGAGCAGCACGTAACCGCTCAGTGACCGTTCTGAGCACGGACAGCACTTACCACGCAAGTTCCCTAAACACTGTTCTTCAAAATCAGTCATGAAACCTTACACCATAAAGGTCCACCTTTGGGATCATAAGTCCCTTCCCTCTAACATCCCTTCACCACCACCGTCGTCAAGGCTGCCGACACCTGTCTCAGCAAGTCGCTGGTCCCAGCTGTCATTTGTCGTCCTGGTTTCCTTGGTTAACTTTTCAAAACAGCGCTTTTCGTTGTCGTTCGTTTTCTTATTCTTCCTTTTGCTTCTCCCCACTCTTCTCCTTTTGGCTCATATGTTACCATCCCTAATTCTCTCATACTTGAAACTTCAAGTAACTGGAAAGTGAGAAATCTGGTCGTGTCTAGACCTTTGCTCTCTGTGTCAGTTGTGCCCTTACCCTTTGTGAGATTCTGAGGCCAGTGCTTCTTGGGTGCAGATGTTACATAGGATGGGCGCGTTGTCGGAGGGAGGACGCGTGTGTACACGTGTGTGTGTACACACACTCAGTCCCATATAGTTGAGACTTCTGTTATTTGTTTTCTCTCTCAATGGAAGCTCTTAGCAGAGCAACACACTGAAATGACTGTAGATGTCCCAGCTAACATCTCTTTGCTCAGAACAGCGCGCAGCCAGCCCAGTGTTTGACTTGGCGGAAGGGAAGAAAGACTCACTTGAAAGGGCAGCCTCGGAAATGGCCGGGGAGGGTGACGTGGTGGAGAAGGCTATTGTTCCTTTGGGGGTGTGAGTAGAAGCCCATTTTTGGTCTCCAGTTCTCACTTTCGGCATTAGAATATTGTTGATCGGTCTGTGTGACCTGATTTTGAGCTAACAGTGACATGCACGAAGTTCCTTTATCCTGCAGGTTCCATTTTTATGCTCTTCATTTGATGAACTGTTCATCAGTGCTGCCTTCTACCATCCTCAGCTTCCCGTGTTTGCACTCGGAATGACAAAACAGTTCCGTAACTCCTGCCATCCAGCATCGTCGCAGGAAAGGCCTCTTAGGTGTCAGAGGGTGTCTGCCTTGAGCAAGGTGGCCGTGCTGGAACATGGTGCTCGATTCCCATAGAGAGCAGTTAGCGCTGCTCGTGGTTCTGAGGCTCTAGATAATAATGGCTGATGTTTATTGAGCACTTACTGTGTGCCAAACCCTGTGTTAATTCTTTCTCATGCTGTGATCAATATGATTATATTCCCCCTTTTATAGGTGAGAAAGCTGAGGCTCAGGGAGTGGAATGAGTTAACCAAGATTACACAGCCGGTACACGTTAGAGCAGAGATTCTAACCTGCACATCCTGATCCTCGAGCCCGTGCTGCTGACCACTGTGACGCCGTGTCCCTGATGAACACCCTAACCCTGGGCAGCCGTTTCGGAGTGTTGTGTCCCTGGTTATAGGAGGTACTGGGGACAGGATCGTGCAGCATAGTGCAAATCCATTACAATTACTACAATTGGTTGAAAATGTCGTTTTGGTTTATAATGATATCTAAGTGTTGACACTTTTGATGCTTGATAGGGCTAGAAAACTAAACTGTGTAAATAAAACACGTTTAAAAGAGTAACTGGGAGGATAAAGCAGTAGCTTACATGTTCAATTACATTTCTCTCTAGACCGCCCCAGGGAAAGTAGAATTATGGAGGGAAAAGAAATATCGATGGGCCAGGCCAGGCAGATGGACACTTAGGGTGACAATAGTGAGTTAACCTACAGCATAAAAGCTGGAAAGCCTGTAATTTGCTGCCCATTTCCGTCTAGCGTTCTGTTTTTCTTCCAGCATTCATGATGTTTAAACGTCATCTGTTGTTCAGTCCTTTTCCTCAGTCTGTTTTTAAAACTTCTGAACTGTTTTTTTGTACTCAGCACTCCACTGAAATGTCCTCAGAGTCGCCAGTGGGTGAATATTAATGCCTTTCTCAGTTCTTGCCCTTCTTGATCTATGTTTCGTACTGGTGAATTTCCTCCATCTCAACAGTTCTCTTCTGCTTTGGCTCGTGGGACCCTTGATCATTTTCCTCCAGTTCCTAGCCTTTCTGTCCACACTGAGAATAGGTCCCGTGTCTTCATTTTACTCAGCACTTTTTCTGCTCTCACTCTTCTGCATTTTGATTGCTAACACTTACCTTTTGTTTTTCAGAAACTCAGTATTTCCCACCCTGTGTGTCATCTCTCGACAGCTCCTTACACAGCTTGGTTTCTGAGAACAGAAGCCACCCGGCTTGTCCCCCAGCCCCCAGTTCCCTTTTAAACAGGCATCGTGGCTCAGTGTTTGGACCCTGAGCACACTCGCCGCCCATCGTGTTTCCCGCCCCAGTCTCTCCGCTCCGCACGAACCGTGTCTTGCTTAGTGGTTGCAGTTCTCAGTTTTCGTTTTGAGGCTGGGTCGTCTTACTTTTCTGCCAACCCTTCTTAGCCCTCTGTGCAAATCCTTGTCGCCTGAGGCCCAGGTCACTGAAACCCTTCCTCTCCTGCTCCCTTGCTCTAGATCCCCGTCCCGTTCGCGGCCCCGGCCATCCTCCTCAGGCTCTATTTCCATGCCGTCTCGTTCTCCCTCAGGAACACCCAGCAGGTGACTCCGGTCAGAGCAGCGAGGCCACAGGTTCCCCGTGGCCTTGCCCTCCGCTTAGTCAGCCGCGTTCTCCAGCCTGTTCACCTTCAGCCAGCCGCTCACCCTTCCCGTGGCCTCCGGCATCGTCCGTGAGCCCTTGCTCTGTGCCTTTCTCTTGCTGTGCTTTTCGCTTAGGTTTCTCTTTGGCCCCAGCTCACGGTCATCACTCCCCTCAGGGCCTGGTGTCCTTTATTCCTTCTGGTCCCCACCC